TCAGGTGGTATATACTCAGGGTTGTACTTTGGCTCTAGTGGACTTGTTTTAATTTTCTTCAGCTTCAACTTCAACTTGCATAGGAGCAGTTGATGGTCTTTTCTGCAGTTGATCCCTGGCCTTACTCTGATTAATGATATTGAACTTCATCATCATCTTTTTCTACTGATGTATTCAATTTGATTCCTGTGTATTCCATCTGGGAAAGTCCATGTGTATGGTTGCTGTGTATGTTGTTGAGAAAGATATTTGCAATGAATAAATCATTGGGCTTGCAAAATTTATCATGTGATCTCTGGCATTGTTTGTATCACTGTGGTGGTTATGTTTGTGTGTCAACTTGGCTGGGCCTGGTTGAGTGGTTGGGCAGCTGATGGTAGTATTCCCCATGATGAGACTGGTAGTCAACTCTATAGTGGGATCTACTGTGAGCAGCTGAGTAGCTGCCTTTGGGTATGTGGTCTGCTTCCTGTATATAAGAAACAGCTTTGGGAATGGTCTCTAGCTTATGGCATGCTTGAACCCTTCATATTACTGTGTCGTTGTTCAGCAGCTTGCCATGCTCTGCCAACCTTGGGACTATCAGTGGACTTGAATTAATGGCCTGCCGTGTGGTTTGGTAACATCAGGACTGTGCCTTTTTACTTGTCAACCTTGGGCTTGTCAGGCTCAGCAGCCAGAAGCTATATAAGTGAGGAAAAACTTCTAGCTCCAGTTGGCCTGGAGTAGGAGGCAGAGCTGAAGCCCAAGACTGAGGGGCTTTCACCCAGCTCCTAGAGCCTGGCACTTTGAACTTGGACTTAAAACCTCCAAACTGTAAGATAATAAACTCCTGTTTGTTAAGGCCGTCCCATTTGTGGTATATTCTTGTCAGAGCAGCACTAGGTAACCAGAACAATCACCAAGGCCATATTTTCCAGCTACTGTCTTTCTTCTTTGTTTCCAGCTTTCACATTCCAGTCACCAATAATTACCAATGCACCTTAATTACATGTTTGGTCAGACTGCAGAAATTGGCAAATATCTTCTTCATCTTTGGCATTAGTGGTTGGTGTGTAAATTTGAATAATAGTTCTATTAAATTGTCTTCCTTGTAAGCATCTGGATATTATACTGTCACTGACAGTGTCGTACTTTAAGGTAAATCTTGAAATGTTCTTCTTCATGTTGAAGGTGGTGCCATTCCTTTGCAATTTGTCGTTCCCACTGTAGTAGACCATGTGATTGTCTGATTCAGAATGGTCAATACCAGTCCATTTCAGCTGGGATAATTGATCTTTATGTGTTCTATTTCGTTTTTTACAGCTTCCAATTTTCCTAGATTCATATTTTGTACATTCCGAAATCCGATTATTAATGGATGTTTGCAACTGTTCCTTCCCATTTTGGGTTGTCAGCAAATTAATTTCCCAAAAGCTTTACTCCATCCACATTATTAAGATCAACTCTTCTTTGAGGTGACAGCTGTTCTCCAGTTGTATTTTTGAATGCCTTCTAACCTCAAAATATTCCAGCAGTGTATCAGACAGTGTTCTGCTGCTACTCATAAGGCTTTCAATGGCCAGTTTTTTCAGAAGGAAACTGCCAGGCCTTTCTTGCTTGTATATCTTAGCCTGGAAGCTCTGCTGAAACCTGTCCACCATGGGTGATTTTGCTGGCATAGCTTTCAGCATCACAGCAACATACAAGCCTCTACAGTAGAACAAACTCATAGACAAGTGGTGGCTTGTCTACCATCTGTAGACAAGATGGTAATGTTTTATATCTTTATTGTGATCATGGGTACATGAGAATTATTTTTTTTAAATCTTGTATTAATTCAAAAGAATAACACAGTTCTTGATTCTGTATGATAAGAATTTGTAAATTGGAACAATGTTCTCTCTTGCAAGAAGGAAAAAAAAAACTCTTCCAATGAATGGCTGGAGAATTTGCAGAGATCTAAAAACAAGTCATAATTGTGTCTTAATGAATACAAGTTTCCATGGTGACAAAGTACTTAATGGTTATTGAGTCAGCATTAAAAAGTAACTCTTAAAAATTTGTTCTTTCACATATTTGTAGCTATGAGACCTCTTGAAATTAAAATTAAGAAAGTACGCCATCTTTTTTATTAAAACACAAGGTAATGAGTTTGCTATTGACTGCTCTCTTAGTGGGGTGGTATTTAACAATGCTGCCAAGTAATTAGCAGTTTTGGGTGAAAAACATGTTAGCAATCTAAGATAAAAATCAGTTTGGGGTCTGGTATTTTTTTAGGCTTGTGAGAAGAGAAAACCTCTTGAAATGAAAGTTAAATGTCTATTTTAAATTGTTTTTCACAGTATATGCATTTATTAAAACTCGTTATACTGTACATTTAAAATAAATAAAATTGTTTTTTATTTGTTTTTTAAGGATTTTCTGCTTTAGCCTTAGCTTGTGTTTTAGATCTCAGGTAGTCACAAAATCTGAAAAATATCCTTAACAGGAAACAAAGATTTAAAATCACTCTCAGTTCTAACCCTGCCTTCAAAGTGAACCTGATAGATACCATAATGAAATCCTAGTGAGGAAATCTTACCTCGTTCATGGCTCCATGTAGATATGAAAAAATATAAGAAGTTATCATTTGGGGATTAACACTTAAATTATTCTCAAACTTAATCAAATTTATATTTAAGTTACCTCTGCTTCATTAAACCAAAAAACTAAGCCCTCTGCCATTGAGTCAATTCCGAATCATACAGCCTCCGTTGGATTTCCAAGGCTGTAAATCTTTACAAAAGTAGATTGCCTCATCTTTGTCCCACAGAACTGCGGGTAGATTTGAACCTGCAGACTTTCTGGTTAGCAGCCAAATGCCTTACCCACTATGCCACCTAGCTTAATTAATACAGTAATGTTACTCTTGGCTATAAATGTTAACATTGTCTTTAAAACCAACAGCCTTAAGTTCATCATTTGTTTCTGTTATAACAGCTCTAAATGACTTTTCTTATTGATTCTTGTTTAATTGTTTTCAGCTTTATACATTCATCTGAAGAAACTAAAAGTAAGCTGATTACCACAGCAGTGTAGGACTTAAAGTTCAGATCTTCTCTAAACTCTTATTTAAGAGAAGATACTCTTAAGCATTATTTTTTAACCTGGTTCTTTGATGCAGGTGCTAGATTTGTCCTAATGGTATACATTACTGTATTTTTTTCTAATATAACATGCTCATCTAAATAAAACATACACATATACAATGTGTATACCATGCATAGGAAAGTAATCGTGAAGGGATTGCATAGTTTGCAAAAAATCATAGAATATGCATGTTATTTGTTTAAAAATACAGTAATTTTTTTCTTGTTGGTGGGGAAAGAATTGTTATTTTAGCCAGACTTTGTCTGGCAAGAATATTGTTTTTACTCTCTGCCCTTAATTAGAGCCAAACAAATATTTTTCTGACATGATTTTTTGTGTTTTCTGGCCACCTTATGTTTCCAGTAAGTGACATGTTAATATCATAGTTGTATATTCATAAAATTAACCTTGATAATCACAGATATTTATATAACATTTGGTTATAATTACTAAGTTAGAAAAAAAAATTACATTGACAAAATTAAAAAAATGTTAAAGCACTTAACATTTTAACTAACAAAGATACATGATATCATAATATTTATATTTAGTGGAGAAATGAGAGTGAGAAAGGGAAAAAAGAAAGAGGACAGTAAGATGCAGCCATGGCTAACTAAGCTATGCATATTGTAAAGGCTAGCACATGTCAAGCTGGGCCCCACATTTGGTTCTGATCTTTACAGCCCCCAACATAGCATTGTCAGATAAAAAGCAGGGTGCCCAGTAAATTGCAGAAAAACAAGGAATAAGTATTTAGCATTATGTCCCAAATATTGTCTTACATTTTTATTTCTTAAACCTGACAGTACTTTCACAGAGGATAAACTGTAATCATTCTAATTACCAAGTTAGCTGGCTAAGCAACCTCAGCTAAAGTATAAAGGTTACCTATTTAATTTCCTGAACCCCAGAAAGTCTCTCACTCAGATGATTTGAAGACTTGTGCCATAAAAATTGAAGTACCCATTATTAGTATTTTCTACTTGAAGTATAACTGACTTCATAAGCCTTACCATTGATTGATTGATTGATTGATTGTGATTTGGATGAAAGTTAATTTTTATTTTAAGATTTGCATTTTTTTTCCTTATGCAGTTGGAAACCCATGCTTAATCAGATATTCAAATTATTATGATGATTTATTTCGTATAGTGCTAAATGCTTTGACATTTTGTTGAACCTGAAAACAGTCCTATCCCAAAAGAATTTGTTTGCATTAGCAGTAGGAGTTTGAGCCTGTAGCTGTGTCCTGCCTGAACTAATAGACAACACATGTAGTTCAGTCTTCCAAATGACAGACAAAGCACATGAGGGTGGCAGTGATTTCTTCCCTCCTCAGCACTGCACCCAGTCCCTTTCACCCTGCATGCTGAAGAACAAATTTGCAAGAGCTTAGCATTTGTGACTAGACTGTACAACAAGTTAATATCCTTGTTACCTTTTCTTGTTATTCCATTGCTGACAATTCCCTTGCCTTGGGCGAGGATAAATTATTGGTGTGTTTGTAGTTTCTCATTGGCATGTTTATCCGGGTGGTTTGGTCCTCAGAGGATTCTGTAGGTTTAGTTCTCTCCTCACTGTATTCATTCTTAAGAATTGCTGACACCTTCATATTTATTTATTTTTTTTAACTGGCCTCTTGGTGTTTCTGCCCTAGACACTGCCCTTTTAGCAACTAATCTTCCCGTAAAAGCTTTTCCTGATTTTTTTCTTTTAATGCCTCTTGGTTTGTTTTGAATATAAATTTTTTAAATTTTTCTTCTCCTGATAGCATTTTGAACCTCAGCTCCATTGTGGAAATAGGGTTTTGCCTCATAATCCTAAAGAAAAATTTTGAGACAGTAACTGTGATCACAGGTGTGTTTTTTTCTTTCATTCTTACCTAACAGGTAATGGAAAGTGAAGAGTTCATGTTACTTCCGGCCAATCAACTTATTGATATAATATCTAGTGATGAGCTAAACGTTCGCAGTGAAGAGCAAGTGTTTAATGCAGTGATGGCTTGGGTCAAATATAGTATTCAAGAAAGACGTCCTCAACTACCGCAGGTAATGATGCAAGTGTTTCTCTAAGAAACTGCTTTATGTTAGATGAAATAATATAATATAAATTTAACTTGGAAAAATGAAACAAATACTGCTCTCCTTTATGTTAAACTAAGGGAGCTCTGGTGACATAATGCCTAAGGCATTTGACTGCTAACCAGAAGGTTGGCAGTTTAAACCCACCAGCCACTCCTCAGAAGGAAGGGTGGGCAATCTACTTCCATAGACCCAAGGAGGAGTTGCTGTGAGTAGGGTCTGACTCAACAGCAGTGAGTTTAGTTTTTTTATTTGTTTGGTTTGTAACTGGGACAGAAAGGAAAGGGTAAAATTATCTCTCAGATCAGTTCCCCCTTGACAAGGTCATTATCCCCAGGTGAGTTGACATCTCTTCTACACCTGTATAGCCCCTCCATATGTCATAGGGCCTTGGGGTTTCTATATACCTTAAACCAGAGAGGTCTAGGTACATAGGAAAAGGGGAAGAGAAGGAAGAAGAAGGTACTTTTTAATGTAATCTGGCCTCAGGGTACATGATTGTCTTGTGATCAACCTTGATGGGGTAAAAGGAAGAACATTTCCTCCCCTTAAAATTTCAAGATCTTAAGATTAGATCATCCCAGCATAAATTTACATAGTTAAGCATATAAATTACCACTAAGGCACTAGAGGACCTTACAACTTAAGGCAGTTACTAGAGGAAGAGGGTCTATTCTCCCTAGGATATATGTTTTCAATACAAAGTTCAATGTAAGGGTCACAGCACTTGGTGGAGGACAAAAACTGCTTTTGCTGCCTTGCAGTCAGTCATACACTCTCTTAACTTGCAAGTAGGAGCTTGTGCCTCTAATAGTGGTTATTATTTTATAGGTGCTGCAACATGTTCGTCTGCCTTTGCTTAGTCCCAAGTTCCTGGTGGGTACAGTAGGCTCTGATCCCCTCATCAAAAGTGATGAAGAATGCAGGTATGAATGACCCTGGAAACCAACAACTAGGCATTTCTGTTTTCTCTTAATTTCCTTGTTTGCACTGCTTCCTAAATATTATCTTTTAGTGCTGAAATCAGGGCAGCATTTTGATATTTATCAGGTTTTTCTTCTGAGCTAGGGTCAAGAGGAGGAGATGGAAGAAGAGAGAACTGAACTTCAGTATTTCATTAGTTTTTTATGTGTGGTGCTTATTGATGTAGGAGTGGCAATTAAGTGGTAGATTTCTAAGATTTTAATGCAAGCTTGAATTTGAAGAGGCATTTCTCAGCTAATTCTTTTTTTTCCCTTGAGATAAATAATATTGTTGACTTTGTCAGTTAGTGCTTTTTCATTCCATCATATATGCCTAGTTGGGGAATAGGAACAGCCTTGCTTTGTAAAATTCTGGACAGAGTTAAAGATCTACCACATTCATAGAGTAGTGATAGAAAGATTTATACTTGAGCTAGGTGAAATAGTTTCTACATATTTTTTGATAAAAGAAATGGAATGCTTTAAAAACATGCAAACAAAAACTTATTTTATTTTACTGGTTTGTTTCTGTAATACATACAAAATGTAACAAATTACTTTTACTAGTATGACATATTTTTAGGATTTAGGTTTAAATCTGAAATGTATCTCAGTGTTTTTCAGTGTGTTCAAAATACTACATGGGAAAGAGCAAGTCAGTGCTCCACACAAACACACTGCCATCAAGTCAATTCCAACTCATAGTGATGCTATAGTACAGAGTATAACTGCCCCATGGGGTCCCAAGGCTGTAATATAAATCTTTACGAAAGCAGACTGCCTCATCTTTCTCCCGTGGAGCAGCTGGTGGGTTGAAACCACCAGCCTTCTGGTTAGCAGCCCAATGCTTTAACCTACATGCCACCAGAGCTCCTTAAGTCAGTACTCAGAACTCCTTAAACCTCACTGATCTTTGGGTCTCACTTAGTGACTGAAGAGATTTGGATGCTAGAATAGAGACAGAACGCAGAGATTCACTTGCATCTCTCTTGTAATGTGAAGCTTGTCCTTTCAAGATACATTAAATGGAGATTTTAGGTATTAGTCTTTTAAATTAAAAAAAAAAAAATTTACAGACAGCCTTTAATTCTCCATAATATTTATACAGATTTATGTTGGCTTATTGGGAGCTCTGGTAGCATAGTGGCTAAGGCACTTGACTGCTCACCAGAAAGCTGGCGGTTCAAACCCACCAGCCACTCCTCGGAAGGAAGGTTGGGCAATCCTACTTCCGTAATGATACTGCCTCGGAAACCCAAGGAGGGGTCGCTATGAGTCAGGGCCGACTCTACGGCAATCAACGACAACAACAACAATGTTGGCTTATTAAGTATTAGCTCTGTAATATAGTGGGTTTTTTTTTTTCCCCCTATGGTAGTCTTTCTAGGAACCCCTGAATAACATTAAACCAACTATTAAGAGATCACAGTCTTTGTTTTCAACTCTGGGGAAGCTGGAAAAAGCTCTTGTTCATTGGCTTGAATTTGGGGGGTTTTGTTTGTTTTTATTTTCAGGAGAAGTGAATTTAGAAGAAGCCTTAGTGATATTATATATTGGAAAGTACATTATTAGCTTGGGACTGACCTTGCAGGAATTACTCTTTGTAACATAGAATAACTAGAGAAATGAAACGTGGAGTAGTTTGGGAAACAATTTCAGAATAGAGGAAGAACAGAGTAACAAACTGAATTTGGATTAATTAGGTACTGAATCATTCACAGGACTTAAGTGTGAAATAAGTACATATACAAATAGCTTGTATCATATTAAAACATTATAGTTAACAGAGATAATCATTGCTTTCTTCTCTTGAAGTACCTTAACTAGACAGGAAAAAAATTTTTTTCTTCATCCTTAGTGGATTTGTTGAGTGTAAATGATTCATACCAGATAGCAAATTAATATTAAGTGACAATATAGTGTTTAATTTTAGCAATTGGATTTGTGACTCTGTTATTACTTTAATTAATCTAACAGATATTTGGTATCCTGGCTGATGTACTACTTTGCCAGTGTCCTGTGGAATTTAATAATATTAATTAGAAAGAAACAACTATGCAGGCTACTAACTGAGTTATATAATTTTTAATGTTTCCATAAGTTATTGTTGGCCCCAATCATGTTGAGTTTCATGCCAAATTTGCAATGAGATAGGAAGTCTTGATGGAAATACCAACCAATTCACAGTTCATGGTATGACTGGCATCATTGTGCTCATGTTTGTACCCCTTTTAATATTGATTGGCATTCAGGATTAGGTTTGATTTATGCTTGCTCCTATTTGCCAACCTACATGTTCTTAAAACATAGTGGGACTTGACTAACAGTGTTGTTTAAACATTTTGAATAGATTTTTTTCCCCCATAGAGACTTGGTAGATGAGGCTAAAAACTACCTCCTGTTGCCTCAAGAACGACCCCTAATGCAAGGACCAAGGACAAGACCACGGAAACCTATCCGATGTGGAGAAGTGCTCTTTGCAGGTTTGGATTTTAATACACTGTAACTACTGGACCAAAACTGAGTATTATTCTACATGAGAAATTGTCATTTGAATAATCCTTTGGACATATAAAGAACACATAATTATAGCCATGGAGGGTGGATGAATCCCCGAAACTGTTGCTCTGAGATAATGTTTAAACCTGAAACCAAAACTATCCCCTGAAGTTATCTTAAAACTGAACAATAGTTTAGCTTAACTAGTAAAAAAGGTCTGCCTTGAATATTATGCTCTTTTAAGAACTGTCTCTATGGGATCAAATTGGCATCAACAACTCAAAAGATTATATAGGAATCTTCTTGTTGTTATGTGCCGTCAAGTTGGATCCAATTTATAACGACCCCTCCTTGGATTTCCGAGGCAGTATCACTACGGAAGTAGATTACCCAACCTTCCTTCTGAGGAGTGGCTGGTGGGTTTGAACCGCCAGCCTTCTGGTTAGCAATCAAGTGCCTTGGGCACTATGGGCAGTAAATTAATATTAATGAGGGGGAACTACTCATAAAAGCAAGGTAAAAATGATTGTATAACTCACAGAATGTAATCAGTGTTACTAAATTGTACATGTAGAAACTTTGAATTGGTGTATGTTTTGCTGGGTATATTCTCAACAGCAACAAAATAAATAAAATTTTGGTGTTAAGATGGAGGACTAGGTAGAAAGACTGCACAGACCCTCTTCAACAAAGAAAAGGGAAAACAATTAACACAGACACAGAAGATAATCTTGGACCTCTGAGCTTTGAAGGGACGGATATAGAAGTGGACTAAACCCCAATTAGCAGAATTTGCATGAAAATACCAAAACAGGAGACAGACGGAGCTGCGGTCTGGCAGCGATCCTGAGTGATCCTGATGGCATGACACAGACAGCTTGCAGATTCCCGAGTGGTGGTAGGACCTAAGAATTAACCTAAAAATCAGCCCTACTAGCCAGGGACTGCATGGAGGACTGCTCTGATGGCTGGGGAATAAACAGAGAAGGTGAAGAGAAAGGAGGCCTGAGCTGTGGACTTTTGCCGGTCTGGAGAGCACCGCCATTTTGAATGTTGCAAGCGGCTTGACCATTTTGGATATTTAAAGGGACAGCACTCTCCGCGATTCCAGGGGCTTAAGAAGAGGTTCTGCTCACCAGCAACCCCAAGGACATTCTGGACCTGCAAGACTGAAAAGGTGCAACATTCCTCTTGTTACTCATATCCCACACCCGCTTGGTGAACGAAGGTGCGGCCATCCCCCACTCCCACCCACCTTCTGGGCCCATAGAAACTCCATCACAGTCTGTGTGCTCAGACGGAGCCTGGGAGCCCTGTCCTCCACCGATTTTTTTTTTTTTTCCCTTTTTCACTTTCTTTTTTCTGGTGATTCATTTGCTTGTATTTGTCTGCTTTAAAACAACTATTATTATTAATACTTTTGTCCTTTTTACTATTATTCGTATTCTTCCCCTCCCAAGTCCTAGTTTTCAGCTTTTTTTCTTTTCCCTGTTCTGGTTGAATTATTATTTTTTTAATTTAATTTTTTTTTCTATTTTTCCCCCTTTTTCTTATGGTTAACTCGTTCCTTGTTATTCTTTTTGCATTTTCCCATATTTTGCCTTCATTATCTTCCTTCTCTGCCTTTTTTCTCTTAGTGCCCTATCCCCAGATATTGCAGGTTTTCTTATTTTTTCTTCTTCTTTTTCCCTTTTTTGGTTACCGTTCCTGTGTGATTACATGGTGTGTTTTTGGTCCAGGTGCTTTTAGTTTTTTTATCGTTATTCAATTGTAATTTTTGTCTAACTGAGTGGGAGACAGCAAATGTCCCCGTAAGACACAACTACACCCACACATCCTACAACTTCACTTACTGAGCGAGAGCCACTACCTCCTTCTCCACCAACGTGCCAATGATAAAAAACCACCAACAACAGCCTGAATCACCCTTGGCTGCTCTTCACAAACAGTTAACAGAGATCTAAATACAACAACGCCATGATGCCT